AAGATATAATGGAAAGCGCAGGGAGAGAAAGGAGAGAGCGAAGGAGAGAGGGAAGGGAGGAGAGCGGGGCCGTCCCCACAGCCACAGGCCCCACACTTACTCCCGTCCCATGAAAGAATGGGGAACCCTTATTTTTCAGAGCTTCCGGCCCAGGCTTTCAGATTCCAAACCTAACACTCTTCCTGTGACACCTCACTTCCTTCTGTGTGAAGGAGACTTGGCTGGAGTTGGGGGAGGGCATTTCCAGGGAAACCTGCATTCTTTTCTAATAATTAATATAATGCTGTGGAGCTCAGGAGAATGTTCTCACACTCAAGACTTTTCTCAGGGCAACCTTCACCTCCTTGTTCCGGAAGCTGTAGACAGAGGGTTGAGCATGGGCACCATGATGGTTAGAACACCGTAGACACCTTCCCCTGGTCCATGGACAGCACAGGAGAAGGATGGAGGTACAAGAATGCTCAGACCCAAAGAAAATGGAAACCACAACAATATGTGAGCTGCAGGTGCTGAAGGCTTTGGACCTTCCTTCAGTGGAATGGATGCGGGGGATGCTGGAGAGGATGAAGGCGTAAGAAACGATGATGGTGAGGCTGGGTGCTCTGACATCGAAGCCCACCACCACAAAAACCACCAGCTGGTTGATGTGTGTGCGGGTGCAGGAGAGCTCCAGGAGGGGAGGGTGTCACACATGTAGTGGTTGATGGTGCGGGCCCCAAAGAACGTCAGCCTCAGCAGGCACCCCGTGTGGGCCCAGCCACCAGCCAATGCCCCTGCACACACTCACAGCCAGCAGAGCAAGACCCGTGGGACATGGCGGCCGTGTACACCAGGGGCTCTCAGATGGCCACGTAGCAGCCGTAGGCCATGACTGTCAGCACGTAGCACTCTGCGCTGACAAAGCAGCAGGAGAAGAGCTGACTCACCACCCGTGGGAGATGGTGCTCACCCCAGCAGCTCACCAGCAGCTTTGGGGTAGTGACAGAGAGTAGCAGAGATCAGTGAGGGGTAAATTAAAGAGGAAGTCGTACATGGGAGAGTGGAGATGAGAACTCAGTCCACTTAGAGTGGCCAAGCCCAGGCTTCCTGCCCCTGTGAGGATGTAGAGCCCTAGGAGAGGAGGAAGGCAGGGAGCTGCATGCCTGAATGTTCAGTTACACAACAAGGACAAACTCAGAGACACAGGAACTGTTTCCAAGGTCCATTCTCGTCCAGAATGACTCCAAGGTCACTGAAGAAATTAAGAATTAAATCAAAAGATTCATTAAGACCAATGATAATGAGCACATGAGTTTTTATAACCCATGGGACACTGCAAAAGCAGTCATAAGAGGGAAGTCCACAGCAATTAGTATTCACAAGACATAAAACTGAAATTATGTACATTATAAGACAACTAAAAACTATTAATTTTTAATTCACAAATAAGCAGGTTTTACAGTATTTTTTTCTCCTTGAATTTATGTAGCGATTCTTACATCACATCAACAAAATATGGTAATATCTTTGCCTTAACAGATATGCACTGTATTTACACTGGGGAAAACAATTTTGTATCCTGTAAAGATGTACAGTGATTAAATGTAAAATTTTTAAAAGTAATAAAGATAAATAACTACAAATAAATTTGAATTGTAGAAATATCTAAGAAAGCAGAAATTTCAAGGCGTAAGTCTTGTGCATGTAGAACACCAAACTTCTCTATCCACACCTTTTTGTACACACACCAAGGTGCTCAGTCCGGCCCCACACCCACCTTCGCACACACCGGGGTGCTCAACTGGGCCCACACCCACCTTTGTACACACCGGGGTGCTCAGCTGGGCCCACACCCACCTTCTCACTCGCCGTCCTGCTCAGGAGCGCAC